AGTTGCTGAAAATTGTGTGCGCCCCTGAAATAGCATCAAACTACAATGCCAAATATTGACTGTAGGTAAATACAGCGCATCAGTTTAGAGTTCACCATATATAATGGCTTCAGAATTATTCCTCTAACTTTGGCATGAGCTGAAGCCAATAAGCCCCATATGTGTTAGTAATGTGCAGTGACTGCTACTTTACATGAAGACATCAAGGGTCTATACGACCCCTAATATTTCCCTGCATTCATCCCGAGCTGATCGAGTACAGAAAGTCCCAGATCAGTTGCCATCTAAGCAGATGCCATCTGCAAAACCGGTGTTCAGAGCAGAGTGCTTCCGGTTTCACTGTACAATGGAGACATTTGGTATGTGATCGCTATGATACTCCATGTATACCATTCACTATCCTGAAACTGTTCTTCTTGGTCCCAGGGCCCTAAGAGAAAAAAGAAGCACCCCAGAATGACCTGCATAGAGCAGTGATCAGGAGGCTTGCAGGGGCCCAGATCACTTATACTATAAAAGCACAGAGCCTACTGATATAATTTAAAAAACACAGCTGCCATAGCTTCTGTGAGCTTGTTTTAACCCTTTAAATGCCACGTCATTGACAGGAAGTGGGTTAAGAATGCAAATAAAACATCAGTAAGCAAGGCTTTACAATAATTCTAATATTTAGATTCTTGTATAGGCTCAATTATGGTCAACGCCATCAGAAAACAAACATTCTCTTACCAAGATCACCATCTCCTGGACGCCGCCGTGAATTGTTTGTGTAAGAGTAAAATTGTGAGCTTCCTTTTCCAGTGGTGGGTGAGAGAGCACTGGAATTATTTATCTCTTCCAAATGCTGAGTAAGATGGTCGCTCATTCTTCCCTAAATAAAAAACAGGAATACAGATGTAACTAAATTGTATTGTATATGCAGTGTTTTGCCTATTTAATAGCAAATGTGTGTCCATTCCTGAATGGGTTTATTGAGACTAAATGGTCAGGGGCATCTGGGGATTCAAGGCACTGGTATGCATTACTGCTCAATTAGACAATATTTTACCAGGACACATTATTTTGTGCATCTCACTAAATTTATCTTGGGAGGAGACAGATTGTAAGCAGATCTGTCTAGTGGAGAGGAGTTTAGGAAGCAGAGCAGGGGTTCATCATGCATCATAATGAAAGAAAGAGGATGCAGAATGGTGGTTGACCATATACAGAAATATAGGAGGGAGAGAAAAGGGAAAAAAAAAACAAAAAAAACAAAAAAAAAACAGCAATGGCTGGTGGAGGAGGGGGGCATAGAGGAGGCAGAGTGCAAGCTGTTTATGGCAGGAGAAAGCAGTAGGGTTGGAGGGTAGAGAGGTGAACGGGCTGACCATGGAATATTGAGAGAGGCTGCAAAGACAGGAGTATCCGGGAGAGAGAAAGCAGATCATCATTGAATAGACAATGTAGGGCTGAACATGGTTGGGCAAATAAAGGGGAAGATGATTGTACCTGGTGGGGAGGAGGTAGTGCAGGAGTCTATTGTGGACAAGGGAAAAAAAAAACAAAAAAAAACAAACTGTCCAGCAGTTGACAATATTCCATAGATACCAATCAAAGAACAGCTCTCCTGCATCTTGTAAGTGAATAGAGAGGGAGCTGCTAGCGGGCAGGAGTGAGGTTTCACATATGAACAGTCATTTCTAACAAAATATGAATTTATGCTGCATTTGTTTGCAGCAGCCATGGAACATGTCTGATGATAGGAGTGGTGTTTACAGAGATGGCCAGGGCTTAGAACATGAAGAAATGATAAATTATACATATTTATAAAATGCCAGGTGGGATTTAAATATCTGCTTGAGAGTTTTCACCACTATAGACACCAGGAGACAGTGGGAAAAATACTCAGACAACATGCCATAGAAAAGTGTAGCATGGGAGAATGGAAAACACAGAATGCCAAAGAAACAAACAAACACAGGAGCGGTGACGAGGCAGCAGCCACCAGGTACCTTAGAAAGCATAGGTGATTAGAGAGTAGTGCCAAATGCAGCAGGCAGTATTGTAAAGAGATATTGTGGCAGAATGCAGTGTGAACAGGGTGCAGATATGACCAGGATGTAATGTGGACAGTGTTGGAAAACCTGCCAGAGAAAATGATTGTAGGCCGTGAAGGCAGAGCTCCCAGAAAATGCAGTGCAGATGGTGATGTGGAGAACTGCCAGAAAAGAAAAAAAATAAATAAAAAGGGAATGGCTGTAGGTTTGGTCAGAGAAAATTACACAGTAGTGAGGACAAAAGGGGTGAGATGTCAGGGAACATAGTGTAAATGGACGGCTGCAGAATGCAGTATAGAGAATAGGGGAAGAGGTACCAAAAACAGATATTATTTTACTTATTTTAATATTTGCCTTTATTGTGGTTAAAAACATGGATTACATTTTGTGGCAGAATTTTTTTTTTTTTTTTTTTAATGCCTGAGCAACATTCATGGACTTTCCAGGTGTATAACAGATAATTAACATGAACATATAAAAATATACACATTGTATTTCATACAGTGTGAAAAATCATCCATAAAAACAAAACACTAAAATTTAGTTATTCAATATGAATAGGGCACAAAACACCACGCCAGTGGTCAGAAGTGTCCAGAATCCAATATATGGAGAACACTTCTTCCATCCTATAATGTAGAGTTTCAGCATATCAGCATAGAGAATACTTGGCGTGGTGTATCTCAGTACTCCGCTTAAATCTAAGCGGAGCACTGAGGTACATTACCTTCACCACCAACATTGGGCATTAAACAACCATCTGTCTCAGTGGCAGCCAAGAATCAAGAGGAGGGGCGTCCAGATGACCTCTAAGCAATCCAGGATGCAGGTATAATTTCGGAGACAATCATGGCCCACAAAGAAGAAGGCCATGACCATTCCTCTTCTCTTTTGCCTTAATCAATTAAAAACTAGGAATCTCCACACAAGTAGGCAATACTCAGCCTTTTTATGCAGCCCCAGCACTCAATGAATGGGAAGCACTCAGTACAGAGGCTTCCCATTCATTCAGAAACTGATAGTAAAATATTTGTACTATCACCTCTTTATGAATGGGGAGGAGCCTCTATAGTGAGTGCTACCCCCCATTTATAAATTCTTGATTGAACAGGAAGTGATGTAAATCACAGCCTGTTCATTCATAACTGGGGACACATAGTACTATGTGTCCCCAGCTATTTACAAACACCTGAGTGATCAGACGATCACTCCGGTGTTTGCTCTGCACAGAGGGATCGTTAGATATCAATTATATTTAACGATCCCCCGCTCGGCCACGATACAGAGCCGTTGTCATCCAAAAACTGACAGGATGACAGCGGCTCCGATCACTATGCCGCTCGGCCATCCTGAATTGCGGCCAGCCGCCGCTCGCTCCCCCCACCCCACCGCTGGTGATTTTACTTCGGATCCCCGCTGCCACAGACCCTACAAGCGGGGGACAGCAGCGAGGATCCATATAGTCTCGGATCCCTGCTTGGAGCGGCTCTAGGCAGGGATGACGCAGCAGGGGGGGGGGGGCGACCGATATTTCGGCTAATAGCGGTCATCAGCGGCTTGTGAGCTGCTGATGACAGCTATTAATTTGAAGGGGACAGTCTGGGGAACAGTTCTGCTATAAGCTCATGGTCGCTGAAGCGTCACTGACCATGAGCTTATAGCAGAACTGTAAATGCCACCGACGTAAGGCATACTGAGCTGGCCAGCCGGGAATACTTTTGTTCCGCTCCAAGCCTTATGGCGGTGGCCGCGAAAGGGTTAAAGTGCACTTCCATTTTTACAGTCAAATGTGAGAATTACCTTTAAGCCAGAAAAAGTCTTGCAACTCATCCAACAAGCTCTTGCCCGCCGCAAGACAACTATAGTCCCTAGTGCAGTTTTGAAATGGCACTGGGAAATCAGAAGCTCCCAAGTATCCCGGCAGAGGTTCACGCATACCCAAGAATAAAAAAAAAATGTTCCCTCCCAAAATTAATCGCTACTAAGTGCTCTCAAGTATGTGAATGCAATGTCATTAAAATTTTTGGGCAATCAGAAAAAGTAGCTGTTGTGCTAATGTGTACCTTTAACAACTCAATATTAATCTTATGTTAATGTTACATTAACAATTTATGCAAACCGTTTTTCCCCCCCTGCGTGTGTTGCAATGTACAGTCGAAAAAAGGAATAACAGTCTCCTAAAGTAAAACAGATGTGCAGGTTCCAGTGTAACCGCAGTTAAAACATCCTTTAGTGTGGGTGTACCTGAAGTTCCACTTTAAATAACCTGCAAAATAGTGTGCTGCACAATGGGCAAGGGCTGGGAACAGTGCCACCAATTCTTGTTTAGCCACAGATGCTTGAATTGGGGTTTAATTAAAGCTCCAGTCACATTGTACTATTGAAAAGGGCTTGATTGTAGAAATACAAAGTTTTCTATATGTAAAGATCGATAAATGTATGACAACCAGCTTGTACTAGTAAATCTATGACAACCAGCTTGTACTAGTAAATCTGTTGAACATGTGGCTAATCAAGACTGGAGCAGATTTTTAATCACATATTTAGCACATCTGAAGATCTCTGGTGCACAAGGCCACGATCCAACTGCGTCTTTGACGGTACAGTCAATTTGTGTCTCACCTACAAGTCCAGTTGTTAGGAAAGGAGTAGATGACAAACTGCCTTCGTGAGGTGGAAGATCTCTGGGTTCACCATAATGGGTGGAATCACCATAACCCTGAAATAAGAGCAAGAAAAAGGGTGAAAAAATGATTTACTAAAATATTAAAGCTGCATTCAACATTTTCTTATAAAAAGCAAATTAAATTTATTTTACATACAAATAGCAAAAGTACTTGATATCAGCCTCCCGTAAATCCCTGCACAGCAGTACTCATCCTGAGAGAGGGGGCTTAATACAAAGCCATTTAGGGTTTATTATAACCTTTGTACATTGCTGTCAGTCTAGAACTTATGAAGTCGTTGTTCTCTCCTTTCCTGTAGGCATGTTCACAAGTGTATGCGGCTTCTACAACTGTCCATTTAGCAGGTTCATGTCCCTAAACTTGGTATTATCAAGAGTGGTTTGCTGGCAGGGGTGTTTAGATCAGATACATGGCCAAGCAGAATGACTAATATTTCTGGTCTGCCATCACAGTTTAACTTTTTCGTAACTTACTCTTCCTTGATCAAAAGAGGATCCATTGTGATCTCCAGTTCCCCAGGCTCCTGATCTTTCATCCATACCTTGGAATAAATAACATTAAAAAAAAAAAAACAAAAAAAAAAATCACACAATGTACATATATATCTACATGCACACCAATACAATGGTCTACACTTCAGTAGCACTCAAAAGTCCATCTACATACTCTGGGGGGAATTGATCAAACTGGAGCAGAAGAATCTGAAGCAGTTGCTTATGGCAACCAATCAGCTTCTCTCCAGTTTGCTCAGTTATGGTTTGAAAATGAAAGGTGAATGCAGATTGGTTGCCATGGGCAACTGCTCCAGATTCTGTCTACTCCAGTTTTGATAAATTCCCCTGCAAATGTTTACAAACTGATATTGTATGGATTTTAAATGAAAAACATTCAATACAGCTTTTCCACAGCTCATCGCTTTCCATGCTTAGACAACACACCATATATTTGTACACAGACATACACAATATTACCATTTATACTGCTTGAATAAGCAACTAAATAGAGCCAAAATGATACCTTCTAATTATTGGTTCTATTGTGCTAGCAATACTGCCGCCTTTTTTCTGCCACTCTAGAGATCTGGTTGCTTAACTGTTATATAATTTACATAATTATGCATATTAAATGTCTGCAGGTCATGAATATTTATTAAATTCCCTTGATGAATTGTGTTTTATGATATGAGGGAGTAAAGGGGAGAGAAGGAAAAGAAATAGAGATAGAGAGAATGCCAGATAGACGCATACAAATACATTGAAAGAAACACAAATGCAAAAGGGCTTGCTTGTACTGCATATAACTGTATAGTAAGGCTAGCCATAGATGGGCAGGTAATCAGAATCCTCTCTGAGAATGACAGGCGGTGAGACAGATGCCTGTCTGTGACAGCACTGCCAAATCACAAAGAGGCTCTACAATGCACAAGCACTGTACCCACATTAACAGACTCATTCCCTTTTCTCCACAGAACAGGATATTGGGATTCCATAGATTTCCCATCAAGTTGGGAAACAAATTATGGATTGCAACAGACATCACTGCTTACAACAGTAAGCAGACATCACTGATTGCAACATTAATTGCACTGACAGCAAAGACTGGAAAGAAAACCCATCCTCCTTACATATGCAGTGATACAAAGTCCCCATCTAAAGGTGCCCATACACCTTACGACCATCGCAAGACTTTTGTCTTGCGATGGTCGTATGCTTATTGAAAGCTTGTACGATCTGCCCACCTTGGACGGGCAGATCGTACTTGCGATCATCGAAAGCCCGCCCCGCGGAGGGGCGGGCTTCCGATGACCGCAATGCAGAACGGGCAGTGTGCGCGTGCGCACACCGGCCCGTTCCACAGCTATCGAACGAGCAGGCTAGAAACCCGCCAACAATCGTACGATTCTCGGCGGGTTTTTGAGCATGCTGGTTCGACAAAAGACGTGCGACCGTACAGTAGAAACGGTCGCACGCCTTCCATACACTGTACGATTCTCGTACGATGGCGGGATTTCCCGCGATTCTCGTACGAGAATCGTACAGTGTATGGGCACCTTAAGGCTAGGTTCACACCAAGGCGACACCTCACCGCGGGAAAATAGTGCGTCCCGGGTGTTGTGCAGGTGTGAACCTAGCCTTAAAGGATTCCCTCTTTCTTTTTGTAAAATAAACACAAAGAAATAAAACTAAAAATATGTCTCAGATAGGTTTTGGAAGGCTCCTAACCAAGGTGCAATAATTATGCAAGCCATGACTTCAGCCAGGGCTCTGGCACATGACACATCGAATTAACAAAATACAGTTTGAAAATGTAGGGGAACCTAGGCATATCTGGCAACCGAGGCACATGTATTTAAACCCACCCACCATACATCAAAATTATTTTCAGTAATATTCATGAAAATAAATGTCATGCATGCTGGGGGTGGGAACAGAATTAGAATGAAATGAGAGGGCAGACGGCAGCAACTGTAAGTACAGTTGCAACCTTAAGCACAGAATCTGAATTTATCAAGTGCAGGAGTGTAGAGGGGCCAACTCCAGCATAGTTAAAAACATTTTCATGCCTCGAAAGGCAACAGTAACCCCCATCAATGGTGTAAGGGGCTGCAATAATCACTCCTTCAATGTTGTCAGTGGTAGTAACTTAAAGTGACACAAAACTCCGGAGTTAATCTTAAAAATGCATTCAAGCACCTTCTTTGTGCATCACTCAGCTGTAGATCCTCAAATCATCTCTGAATGAATACTGACCATCTCCTTCCTTCTGGAGGGTGGCTACTTGTGTGTTGTAAAGTAGCCACCGCTCCAAGCTCGCTCCCACGACAGACTACAATCTCAATACAAATTGGTAAATTAAACATGAGATAATAGTGCCTCACAGGAGCGAGCTTGGAGCCGTGGCTACTTTACAACACACACAAGGACCATGGGAACACTAGGAACCACCCTCCAGAAAGGACAGCGTCAGCACAAATTCAGAGATTATTTTAAGATCTACAGCCAAGTGATACATTTTTTGTTAATGGTTAAGGAACTTGAATGCATTTTTAAAATTTAACTCGAGTTTACGGTCACTATAAAATAACAACTGCCCTCCTCCTCCCCAGCATTTGAGTTCACTCTCCCAGTCAAGCAGAGACTATAGCTCTACTGTCAGGTAGAGCTCTTACCATTTTTTTGGGACAGATAGTGCTTTCTTTTGGTGGTATTTAATCACAACTGGGGTTTATATTTTTTACTATATGAAGGAAAGATGACCGAAAATACAAAACAAAAAAAACCCTATATTAAATTATGAAACACTTTGTACCCAATTTTTTGGTAAATATAAAAAAAAAAATACCCAAAATTGGTGACACTTTAAAAGCTTTAACCGCTCATCAGTTTAGTGTTATCCGTGATTGATGGCCCTAAAATTGCTCACTCAGACGTTCGCGGCAATATGCACCGTGTAGCGCAATTGCCATTTTTGCGCAATGCGTATTTACGTATATATGTGCGTATACATGCAGGTGGGGGGACTTTTTTTCACTTTTATTTTTTGTTAACATTTAAACTTATTGCCATCACATAGGGGGCTAACAATCCCCCGATGTGATAGCACAGGCACACTATCCCGCCCTTTATGGAGACATTAGGGGTCTCTAAAGACCCCTAATGTCACCTGGGGACCCGCAAAGAAGCTGATGAAGCAGCGATCTGCTTCACCAGCTTCTTCTCTAGCTATAGCAGCTAGGAGAAATGACAGCTGAATGTGGAATTCAGACGTCGGAAGGAAATCAGCGAGGAAGATGCTGATCTCTCTCCCATCTTCCTCTTGACACCCACCCGAGCCGGTCCTGGGCCGCAGAGGGGGGCAGCGGAGCCCGGTATTAAAGGCGAGGGTGGCTATACTGCAGGGGGTGACTTGATGGACTAATGTCTTTATTCAACCTCAAATACTATGTAACTATGTAACATAGTATTTGAGGTTGAAGACATTAGTCCATCAAGTCCATACAAGCAATGTGTAACAGCTGTTTGAAATTGACAGGTTTTTTTACACCTGGGCGTGCGCAAGCAGAAAAAAATAAAGGTATGCAAAGAATAAAAAGTCAGCAATTACCTAGATATGTTTGTAGATTGTCATTACTCAACATTTTTAAAAGCTGTTTTGAAGATCTGGGTAAATTTCCTCATTAACTTCTTGCCATCCGCCCATTGTAAATAAAACAGACGGACGGCAAGCTCCCATTGGCGGGGCGCCATAAATGAATGGCTTTTTATTTCTTTTCTTCTCCATTCTTCTTAAAGTGGCCATTTTAACTAAGGGCAGGTTACTAGATCCCTTTACTTCCTGGAACCCTGGCACATGTGACTAGGACATATGACTATGTACATCATCTTACAGCCCATTCACACTTGCCATATTGCAAATTGCGCGTTTTTCTTGCGCGATATCGCGCACATTTTCATATTGGGCTGAGTACAATCGTGCGGCAGCCACGCCAAAAAAGGGTCCTGCGACAGCGACGAGCTACAGGCGACATGGAGTTGTAAATGGGAACAGCTCCATTGACATGCATTGGACTTAGTACACAGAGTGATATCGCGTGGAAATATGCACGATTTTGCAGTGTAAATCCGCGCGATAAACCGCTCAATGTAAACGGGGCCTTAGGGGAGGAAAAGGCCTTTCCCTGAGATCTCATGAGATTACAGATCAGATTTCCCAGCATCCCTCTGCTGATGTAACCTTCCCAGGATGCAATGCTTGGGCACATTACATCAATTGTGCCAAAGTGGACCAGGAAGTGGAGAAAAAATTTTAAGTAAAAAAAAAAATGTGTTTGTTTGACTAATGAATGCAAGGTAATTTCATATTGGCATGCAGAGCTGTATGTTGATGTGATTTTTAGTCAATGGGGGTAAAGGTCCACTTTAACAGGGTGACAATGCTCTTTGGTGCACAGTGAAAATCACAAAGTAGCGCGGTCACCCTGTGGACAGCATAGTCTTAGAAAAGTAATTTTAAATGGACTTTAAAGAACTCTTATGATCGTTAAAAAAAAAAAAAAATACAATTTATTCATGTCTAAATACTTTTTTTATTAGCCTCACTATAAACCACTATTGAAATGTTAGAAAATGTAGGCCACATATCTCGGGAACAACACCTACAAAGATAGGACAAAGTGCTAAATGCACTTTGTTGCCTGGGGGACAGGAGCAACAAATAAAGGTTTAGTGGACTACTAATTTTTTTTTTTTTAAAGACTAAAATACAGCTGGCATTTTTAGGTAGTTACAGCAACGTGTTTTTCCCCTTTCCTTTGGGGAAAAAACAGGTTTAAGCCATATGAAATAAAGCCGACCATTGTAAGCTCTTCTGGAAGTGTTATATGATTTCAAGCACTATAACTGTAATTTTTGCTGGACAGCTTGGTCTGTTACAGGAGGTGGAAAAAATAAAAATATCTACTGGCAGGATCAAAAGTTAACAAAACTATGTTACAGGTAGGACTTTAAAAAAAAAAAAAAGGCATACGATGATGGTCTTTTATGCCCACACTTCCACTTCAATATACATCCCTCCAGTACTGCACAGAGTCCTCCTAAACCGGAATATGCAATGCCATTTTCCTGCCATCTCTTTCCCAAGCAATGCAGAATACTTACATCCTACAGCTTTGTCAATTCTCTCTCCCCAACATCTAGTCTACACTTAAAGTGACATTAAAAAGGCAAAAATTTTTTTCCCTCACCCCAACGTTAATTAAAGCACTTACCTTAAATTATGTCTCTTAATCCGATCATCTTCTTTCCTGATGTTTTCAGCCTTCTCTCCAGCGCTGCGGCGGGTGTCCGATCCAGTGCCGACTCCTCTGGGCTTGCTGGCACTTCCTGTCCCACGGTGTCTGCATGCAAGTGCACGCGTCCAAACACTTACCTTGCGTCCCGGCCGAAAATGTGAACTGCGCATGCCCCAAGATCCTTTGCGGCCGCCCAAGAATTTTCACATTTTCAGACGGGAACGCGCAGGGAACACACAGGTAAGTTTAAACCACTGTTAAAGCGTTTTTTAAAAAAACAAAAAAACAACAACAACTTTTTGCATATATCTACTGCTTAATAGCAGTAGATATATGCAAAAAAAAAGCAGAGAGGGTTTAGAAACCCTTTAAGGAAATGCAGCAGGTGGGCAGGTAACCTTTGACTTGGTGGGTCACATAGTTGCCGCATAGGTCAGGGTACAGGATGTGACGGCTCACAATATATTTGCCAGAACTTTTCTGAAGCTCAAAAAGGAGGAAACAAAACTGCCTAGAACCAGTCCAGAAACAGAGGGGGTGTGTGTTCAGGATTTGTTGTTTTTTTGCTTAGCCTGAGAAGCTGGCAACGCAAACCTTGATTATGGCGGCTTTAATAGTATGGCATGGAAATATTACTGGCTAACTTATAGAGCAACATTCATCTATTGCAGGGAATGTTTTTTAGCCCATTTTTCAAAGTGACAGTCTTTAAAAAATACACAGGCCTATGTAATTTATTAATGCCAAGAACAAAGATTGTGTGCAAAGTGCAGCATCTTATAACAACCGAAAAATTCGTTTGGCATTTTACTGCAATAATTTGAAATCTGGTTAATTTACTACCCATAGAATAGGCAATTTTTATACCTACCTTTCCTGACACTCATTTTCACTCTTAAAGCTACAACCACCTAAGGAATCTTCACATCTGAACCTTCAGAGAGCATGGAATGCCTAGCCCATTCATCCACTGGCTTCTACATCGTGAAGCTGATCACGGATATGGGTGAAGGGTCATGCGTAAAGGGTCATTTCTTTTTCCTGAGGTAGGAATGGCAGTTTATACTTTTTTCCTCATGTGTGAAATCATGGTGCATCTGTTTGCACCAACCATAACACGTCTGGTGAAAGGTGGGGCATACAGAGAGAAGGCTTAGCACATTAAAGGACTTTGGCATATTTATGAAGGGTCAGGTGTCATTTAATATCTGCTTGGGAGTTTATTTCTACTATGGCACCAAGGGGACAATATGTACAATGTTCAAAGCACAGTGTAGTATGGACAAAAGAAGGAAAAGTACCAGTGAATGTAGTGTCCACCTGCCAGAGACATTAGCTTTACCATGGGCACCTGTACTTCAGAGAGTGGGTGTAGAACTGCCAGGAAATGCACTACAGAAAGTGTAGGAAAAGCTGTGAAAGAAAAAAAAAAAATAGAAGAGCTAGTGGAAACACTGAGGAGGAGGATGGGTGCAGAAAGAGTGCTGTGCACATTGCCAAGGAGACAATTTGTGGTGGGGATCCAGACCCAGATGATATAAAGAAGAAAAAAAAAGAAAAAAAGGTCTGGCAGTACTAAGTGACCAATGTGGGCAAGGGATCTGAAAGTGTTGCAGTGCAAATCTCCAACTGGTGCAAGAACTGTGGATGCACATGTTGTTCTCCTCAAAGACAAAGTTACTGGATCTTTTTATAATGATGGGGTAATGATTGAAACTGCTCTGTCAAGTGCAACAAAAAAAAAAACCCTACCCACTCATACTAGCCTAACCCATGCTTTCCTGCTATTGTGTTGCTCTGAGAGCTCCAGGTTTTTTGTCTGGTGGTAGCAATGCTTGCACAGGGTTAAAGTAGACCTTGCCGTACAATGCAATGTCCACCTTTAAAATCGAAGTCCCTTTAAATTTAAAAAATCTCTGCAGAACACTTTTTTTTTGATCTTTGTAAGTTAGCCCTAAAGAGGGGAAGGGGGTGGGGGGGGGTTTGAGTCCTTTTCCATGAAGTTTGATGGATATACCTGATGCTCATAATGAATGTTTAAATTAATTGATAACATTTTCATACTTGTTCTAAATTTATGTGCATTTCTTTGATACATCTTGATTTTCCACTTCATCCAAACTTGAATACTGATATTTGTAAAATATGTATATTATTTACCTGATCCACCAAACTGAGTGCTGGCAAGTGTTGTTGGTCTGCTCTTTCCATTATTCACAGGCAAAGGGAACAGCTGGAAAATAAAATGGAAACATGACCCATGAACATATAATCTACAATGCAGAAGTAAATTGTACTAACACATACAGACCATGTCCAAGTGTATAATGCAAAAAAAGACAAAACATGTTAAATGCCATAAAATATACTGACACTTCTATCCTTGCACTGATCCCCATTAGTAGTTAAGAATTTAGTGACTTTCAGAAATGCAAGTATTATCTTCACAAAGAATGGGGCTCAGATTTGCCGCTGCTATGGGTTTGAGTCGAATCCTGTGGGTTCAAGAGTCACAGTCCTAGCGAATTTATGTGCAGATTCACCTGGGAGACATTTTTTAAACCTTAATGCGCTGCTTGGCCTTTGAACTAAAAGCAGTGTATTGGAAGCTGCTGTAGGGAAAGAATAGGGAAAGCTTACCAAATGCATAGGGAGACCTAGAACCAAAAGTGATTTCCTAATTGACCCCGACTTTTTTGTTCTTGATATTAGGGGTTTTTATCTTTTAATCGTTTTGAGGTCAGCAGTCACTTTTAGCTGCTGTCATGCCCATAGCACACCTTTTTTTACAAGGCCTCTCTCAAAAACACAAAAAAACTGCCTTTTGTTTGAAGCAGGTCACTGAATAGTTTCAAAAGGGAAAAAAACAATAAGTGCAAAAACAATGTGCACCTAAATCACCCGAATTGATACACATTCAACACCCCCCTCCCCATATTAAAACAAAAGTTAGACATACAGTGGTTAGGGCTATTATCTCTGATTTAAATTGTCCTGGTGCTGGCCAGATTTACACTGTTGTATCTTAGTGGGGGAAAAAATTGCATCATGACAAAAATTACGTATGATGCCAAGCTGTCCAGCAAAAAGGCAGGTAGAGAGTTAAGACAAATAAATTGAACATTGACAGGAGGCGCTTACAATGGTCAGCATTTAATTTAAAACATCATAACAAAAAGAAAAAAAAAATTGCTGAAGAAAGTGTTTGCTGAAATTAGGCTTTGTTAGTCACTTGTGTAAAGTCCATCTAAATCTTCCACTCCATTTAACACTACCTTCTCCACTGGTTGACAGTGTAGCTTTACAAGGCAAACTATGATGCTTCTCCAGAAATACAGTGGAGGAGAGTGTGTATCTATCCTGAGACGTGAAATGGGTTACTGGTAGTAGTAGTACCAGGTGAAAATAAAAGGAAAAAAGCCTAAAAATGTTAAAACCAATGCAGCCACCACATCCAAGGACTGATAAGCTGCAATAACTTACATTTTTGATTTTGGGTTTGGATACACTTTAATTCTTGTAGTAAAGCCCCAGCCTGTGCTCTTTGTCTCTAGTATATTTGAGCCCAACTATTTTCATATAGTCTTGCTTGTGGCCAATTTTACACTGCTGTATAATTTGCAGTCTCTTAATTCATATAGTAAAACACCTACATGTACTTTTTGTCCCTAGCACATTTTTGCCATTTCTCTTTAAAAGCGGTTTAAACCTTACCTGTGTCTTCCACGCGCTGCCGTCCAAAAATCTGAAAATTCTTGGGTGGCCGCAAAACATCTTTGGGCGGGCGTATGCGCAGTTCAGATTTTCGGCCCGGGAGACGAGGAAAGACACAAAAGGTAAGTCTATGGACGGCATGCACCCACATGCAGATACCGTGGGAAAGGAAGTGCCAGCAAGGACAGAATCGTCAGCATTAATGCATCCCACAAGCATGTTATTTTAAAGAATAGTGTATTCTGGACACGTTCCCGTAGCCAGTTCTCTATCCACGTACACACCACCTCATCTATGCCCATAGCCCTATGCCATGAAGTTTCTGCAAGAGACATGCTAAACACAAGAAGCACACTACCAGGCACATGTTGCCTTCAGAACCACGAAAGAACCCCTCTGTTGTACAGTATTTTTTTTTTTTTTTTAAATGTTTGGGAAAAAATAAATGTCCCCCATGGCACAGTCAAGCTTTCAATGCCTTTTTTTGACATTTTTGCTTACTAGCCAAACAGGATCTGCCCTCCCTACATAGACTACAATGGGATTCGACAAATTTCAAACAGGATTTGATTAATCTGGGCAACATTGCTTGTCCCTAGTCCTCACTGGGGACCCAACTCCTGCAGGAAGTTGACAGCAAATATGTAATTTCTCTCTAGAGGGCTGATCACAGTGCTAAAGGTTCACCCAAGAGGGCGGCTGCTTAAGTCAAGAGCTTCTGGGGCACACACACACACAACATGTTTTCACTTACAACATATGATCGTTATTTATATATTATAAAGTATGAGTGTGGTTCCAACATTTAACATGGGGCTTATTTTACATTGTCTGTACAGCGCATGCTCCAGACCTACGCCAATATATTTTGGGGAGGTGGAACTTGCCCAGCACTAAAAACAGTTTAAAGACAGATCTTGAGTCATACTGTGCACAAACGATATTCTATCAAGGACATATAAACCACATTAAGCAATCTGCCAACAATGTGATGAGCACAGTGGGCACCATGCCAGGAACACGCCAAGTGCATGGAGAACATTGCCATGAAGTTTCTGCAAAAGACATGCTAAACACAAGAAGCACACTACCAGGCACATGGTTTTCACAGGCATTCTAAAACAGGAACAAAATGGCCATATGGAATTCTCTGCTGTGGAGATTCTGTGCATATAAAGTACTCTCCCTGGAATATGCTACGCACTAGAGAAGCCTGCTCACCACATGGGATCTCTTACTATGGTCATGCAGATGTGAAGCGACTGATTTTTTTTTTTTAACTGAACAATCCAGTACAACAGAAATTCACAGTTTTGGCTAAACACAGGTCTATTTAAACAGCATACGTTTCAGTGATATACCATTTCCAAAACTACAAGTGTACAGTGTAGTCACAGACTGATGACTGTTTGCTTTGATCACTATAAAAGAATGTACAGTTGTGCAAAGAATACTAGTGCTATAACCAGATAGTGTCCTACAACCTGGTTAATATTATCCAGGCATGATGCCCCCGGCCATGAGAATGTTAATGTTATAAGATATAGAAACACGCTACTGTGCGCCTTCCTAGTTCTGAAACCCCACTGTCAAATGACTGCTTCAGATGGTCCTGATTTGAAACTAATCTGTGAGATAACCCATCTGGGTTGGAGGCCTATTCATAAAATAAACCCATAACCTGCAGATGTCACTGAAACCTGAACATGGCAATGTGCATTTTGTTTAATAGTGTAATTGCTAGATATATTTACAATATTTAAAATAAAGTATATTTTAAAAAAAAAGCTACATTTAATTTAAAAACAAAATTTGTGCAGTTGTCAGCCTAGAAGAAACCAGAGCAGGATATTTATTAAAACATAACCAAATAAAAGTCTTACATGACCTGAATAGTCAGTTAATGTTGGGCTCCTGTATAGACACTGCTAAATTTGTTCTAGGTATCTAGGTTTCAATGACCTTTAGTTACAAAAGGGTTAAAAGACTTTGCTCTTTCCCAAGGGGGGGG